AGGATTTAGAGTTGATGACGAGGGTGTTTTTTATGGTGGTTGGAATTTTGAGTTAGATTTTAAAACGGCCGTCCCTCTTCCTTAATTAATTTTTGAAAATAGGCTATATTATGTAGGTTCGTGTGAAGAATCTTAAGTTTCAGTTATTTATCGATGGTTGAAGAAAGAAGCCGCCTACCAACACCTGTCCGTGTTGAAAGGTTGTTAGGATACAGACATGAACACATTGGGATGACAATATCAAAATAATACAAAAAACACAATTAGTAATTCGGTTATGAAAGTTACACTGGACTAATTTATTACATTATAATAATTGAATTCTAGCGGAAAACTTAGCAGCTTACCCAAGCCGATCCGATGTTAACACCACGGCGCCAGACAGAAAATTATCTAAGCTAAAGCGCGATTGGTTCATGGTTACCCACGGGGCATTCCAAACAAAATTCACAATATATGATGACACTATTTAAACATAAAAATAATTTAGTCGTTTACTGAATTTTATTTACTCAGAAATTACACGAGTGTAATTCGTGCTAGGGAATTGACAAGATTCAATTACAGAATATTTTTATCATTATTTAATGGAGAAATGATGAAATACGGAATAAGCAATCGAGTTCAAGATAATTAAGTTACAAGAATTCCGTCATTACGGATTAGTGTTATTTACTAAAAACAGCTGATCTCTGAGCTATCTTGTTTGTTTTGTTGCGAAAGCACGAAATGGCTCGAGTAATAGACGGTTTTTATTTACAAGTCGTCATTCGTCAACTTAACGGCATAACCTACTTCCTTTTCAAGTTTTAGGCAAACTAATCCAACTGGGTTCGAAAATATTTTATTTTATTTTGGTGCTGAAAAATGTATAGGATATTAAATCTTAAAAATGGGCGACAACTCTACATTGAATAAAGATTGGAAAGAAATAATTGCTTTGGATACTATAACAAATTGTTTGCCTAGCCACTATCAGCATGGGCAGCAGACATCTCCTCTCATGGTTACTGGTATATCTTCATTTGAAGATCACCTTGTGATAGCCTCAAATGTTGGCCTTATATTCCTGGCACATCTACCATCCCTTCAAATTGTGAGACTAGAATGTGAAGTAAGTGTTGTAACGTCTTTCAAGTTGTTTTTATGTAACCAGCAAAAACTGTAGATATTAATAATTAAGATAGTAGCCATAAAAACACCATGCTTTCATTAAATTTACTCAAAATATTTAATTTGTTTGACTGTCAACTGTTTGAGGTCCATGTTAACATTGGAATTGTTGAACATTTGAACTTCCATTAAATGATTAACATTAAAAAAATGTTTAAATTAATTGTTAAACATTTTGGGGAAAATAAGGGTTGAACAATTGATAAAAATATATTTTCACATTGGATAAAATAAATTTGATTGGTATGCATACATAGTAAGCATGTTTTAATCTATGAATTGAATTGAAATATTTATATGGCCCAAAACTCAGATGTCATATCATCTCTCATTGCATAATCATTTTGCATATCTTGTTAGATGGTATATATTCAAGTGGCACCTTCTTGAATCTCTCTATAGTTTGGAAAGCATGCACAAAAAAACTTGCATCATTCTTCTATTGCAGGCACTTTGTTAATCTATGAAGATGATTTATTACTTTTTTGGTACATTTATCATTTATGGCAACACTAACAAAAGGTATTTGAAATGGTAGACAAAAGAAACTTCTAGGTATATAAACAATATGACATTGTGATAAATTAAGATTTATTTTGTTCATTTCCAAACATCAGTTTACCAAATTAAGTTATCTGTTGAGCATTTGTAGATCAGCACAAAATGCATGCCACTAGTTGAGATAAAGTCTGGTTTGTCATTTTGATGTTTTGTTTTGTTCCTTGCATTGTTGATGCACATGACTATCCAAAGTCACACATTTTGGTGTGTGTTTTACAAAATTGCTTGCAGATCAAAATAGAACTGCAATGGAACTACTGCCCACTTCACTGACTGCTGAAATCTAGTTGGTTTTGAATGCCATGCAACTAATTTCAATATTTGACATACCTGAAGTATTTCATGTGGGACACAAATTCATTTGCAGCAGTTTTTTTAATTGAAATATGGAGATAATTTTTACACATGTAAAAAATTGTTTCCAAATGAAATGAAAATCTTAGTCCATGTCTTGGACAAATTTCAACCAAATAAAAAAAATGTTAAGCATTTAGTTCTTATAGAGCATCATTATTTTAGAAATTGATTTTATATGTATTTCATACTTTTTAAAGGTAAAAACTTCATAGCATTCTTGAAAATAATTTATTTAATCATAACCAATTTTGGATAAATTTTAAAATTAATGTCTCATTCATGTAGTCTTAATGGCAATTAAATAGCAGATAACTCATCTGTCATAAATCTTGAGGCTCTTAAAATTGCTAGGAAAGTCTATTTCTTTTGGCTAGTAAAACAAATATTCTAAGCAAGAAAAAATATTACATCAGCTTTCTTCACATTTGGCAACCCACTCAAGTGATTTAACTAATTTGTAAATTTTAAATGTTTTGCAGAAGCCTCTAAGCTGCATAACAAATGTGAGTGCAACACGTTCTGCTAATGACATGGTTGCGGCTGGGGCTGCAGATGGCTGCATTTCAATTTTCCTCCTGCCTCGGCACCTGACACAGCCATCATGCACTCCCAAGGCTGGTATGTGTCTGTCAATATTAATATAACCAATTAAGTTTCAATAAAACAATATGCTTTTATGCCTTTCCTTTTTTTCTAAATATTCATTCCAATTTATAGATAGACCTTGAATGTAAGGTCACAATTATATATAGACCTTGCATTCATTTTTTAATCATATGACATTCATGATTGCTTTGGTATTTTTGAAATCATTCATAGTTGCATCTTCTTTTCTTCAGGTCATGGAAATGACCTGAAAAGATTTTCTGTGGGGTCACTGCACAGCGCACCTATCACAAGTCTGGCATGGAGCAGCAGTGGCTTGAAGCTGGTGACTGGAGATGCTGCTGGAGTGGTAGGGCTTCTGGAGATGAACCACGACTCCTGTCAGTGCCTTGCAAGACACCTCTTCTCTGAGAGTCTGCCTATTGTGCAACTTTCCTTATACAAGCAGGTGTGTTCTCAAGCCTCAGTGCAGCCAACACATGCAACTTGTACGTACGTACTAGTTGTCTTCTTTGGGTAAGGAGACATTATTGTTATTTTATCTCTGATTGTCTGTAGCTGTTTTGGATATCATGCATGGTCATTTGTAGAAATTTTGATTCTTTTGTAGAGCTTTAAAAATTTTTGATAGAATAAAAATTAAATTCAAAATGGTGTCAGTGATTCCATGGAGACAACTCACTATATACTGTATTCTATATTTGATTAGTAGGTATTGATGAAACTTGAGATAAGAGCTCACTACCCGTACATAAGAAGATGTACCTAAGGTATCAAATAAATTTCTCACGAGAATATTTCATCTATACAACCCTTGAAAACTGACACAACATGTATGCGTTTTTATTGCAGAAAGTGGCAGTTTCTTCTGAGCAGCGTTGCATAGTTTATGATCTCCAGGATGACCGTCTCAACGTTGTGGGAACCAAACCCAGAAAACAGCCTGGCAGATTTGGAGTGGCATGGAGTAGGTGTTTGCCTGCCTGTAGTGGTGTCGTGCCTTCCGCAGAGCCGTGCAATTTAACCTCTAGTGTCGTCGCTAACGATGTTCCTAGTGTGGCCTCCACCGATGATTCAAGATTTGTCCCCACCGAAATTTCCAGTGCTGCATTCACCGACGTTCCTAATGCGGCCACTGCTGATGTTTTTAGTAACTTCCACACCGATATTCCTGATGTTTCTGGCACCGTTAATACTCCTGTTGTTCTATCATCTGGGCCTGTAGTTGTGAACGATGATGCTGAAGTTTCTTCAACAGAAGTCACTGCTGTTGTTGATAAGGATGATATTACTGACTCTAAACTCGAGAATACTGAGGGAGAGAAAAATTCTGATGGAGGCACCGATGATAACGAATATGAAGATTCTAACACCACCAAGCATATGATCACGGATACAAATATTACAACTTCTTCCACTGCTGTATTTACTTCTAAGTTATCATGCAATTCCGTGAATACCAATCATGAAGTGCCCGCTATTATGTCCACGGGAATAAATTCAAGACCACAACCCACAACACCAGAGAGTGAGGACGCCGTCTTGTACACAAGTCGGCCCGGCCAGCGCGTGTGGATGGCAGTGGCCGAGGGTCAGGTGCGCACTACTCTTCTCATCAAAGATCTTCCCTTGGATACACGCATCCAACTACCTGGTATCAGTCCCTCCGTCGCTCCGCCTGTGCTATCAAGTGTCAAGTTCGAGAACATTCAAGTAATGAATACGGGACAACTTGTTATGCATTCTCCCGACTCTCTGGTCATCTTTAACCCGAGGACGCTGCTCGTTGAGGCCTTCTTTTACCGCGAGAATTTCATCCGATGCGTCTCATGTACCGCTAGAAGTGTGTTCGTCCTGTCCCAGGCTGGTAGCATATTCTGCATCAGTGACCAACCTGTTAACGTCGGCAGCAGCGCGATATTGCACCCTATGCATGGAGGTGCTGAAGCGTCGCGAAAGTTATTTATGCCGCCTTTGGTGTTAAAGAAACTTGGTGAAAAGGTGCTCACGCATAGCAGCAACGTGATTGAAGGGGTCGTCAAGCTGAGCGGTTCCATTGCAAGCCGCGTCACGGATGCCGCTGCTGGAGGCTACATTGTTAACGGCGTCGCCTCTGAGCCCTGCACGACGGAGGGTTCCTTCTCTAGGTACAGCCTCAGCAACGCGCAGCTCAACACAGCAGCGAAGCAGAGCCTCGCTCCTGATGGCCTCTCTAGGTCTATGTACGCAGAGACACCGGCGTCAGAGCAGCTCCTGACGCAGAGCTTGCAGGAGCGCCTTGAACCTCCTTCGGAGCCGCGATATAACGCTCCGCTGGTTGATGCCAATGCTGATACCTACCAGGTTTGCCAGCGTCCGTTTAGTTGAAGCTTCATGCAGGAATGTTGGTCTAGAGACATTTTAGATTTGCCTACATTTGTTTTGATAAATCGTGAACTTACTAGAAAGCTGGATAGTTAGTGAGGCGTAGCAATGGCTGTTTGAACATTTCTGCCTTCACATTCCACATGAAATACTCGAGTTCTCAGATTCCATTTGTTTTTCACATAATTTTTAAAACTGTAGGGGACTGAGGCGAGAGACGGCACCCCCTTGGTGATCAGAGGCAAGCAACGTAGGAAGAAGCATCGAAGGACACACAATCGTGAGTCATTGTCTACGCTGAATTTCTGTCGCAAGTCACATGCTTGAATATATATATTCGGATATCTTAAGTTTCATGGTGCCCACGATCGGAGAAACAAGTTTTCGGTCGCTCTATCGGTACTGATGGTTTTACTTAAAACTCATTTCTTACGGCAAAATTTTCTTTTCTAGCGAGTACGCCTGATCCAGAAAGCAGCGCGTGTAGCCGAGCCTCCAGCGAAGTTAGGAGTACAACCTCACCGTACGACCTCCCGCTGGCTACTGAGATCTCTTCTGAATTCACCGTTGAAGAGAGCGAGCGCAGACTAGGCGAGATGCTGGGAATCGAGTGCCTCAAAAACTATAGTGTAAATAGTCACTTTCACGATCCCGAGCGCCGTACAACTGAAAAACTTGACCGCAGTTGCCGTGGAAGTGTTGACTCCTCTGCACCTAATAAATGCCCTGATTTCTTAATTGATGATTCTCAAATTATTTTGAATCGAAAAGAGTATAATAATCTGGTATTGCAAACAAATGAAGAAACCCATTTTCTCCCATCAGAAAGAGATGAACAAACGTCTAATATTTGTTCTAAAGATTTTAACTTTTCACGACAAGATAACGATAAAAAACGTGATATTGATTTTTGTAAACTAAATGGAGGAGCCAAAGTATCCTCGGAAGTGGCCGTTGACGACTTTTTTCAGGCTTGCAATAAAAACGGTAATCCTTCAGATGGAAATACGACAGTATCCTCTAATCCTCTTTGCGGTGGCTCAGCAGATAACAATCTACAAGGATATGAGGATAGCAGGACCAGCAATTTAGGCCCCGCCAGTAGTCTCGAGTCCACGACGAGTGAGCTCAGCTACTACGTACCTTCTCTGGATGGCGCTGGGCCGCCCATGCAGGTCCTTCGGTCCATGTCCCATCACGACAAAACAATCCTTCATGCGGAGGACGAACTGACGGAGGAAGTGGAACCTATGGTGCAGCTTTCGATGAAACCTAACGGCTTAAGTGCGTTCCCTTCCACTGACGGCCATTCAGGTACGCAGGAAGATTGGAGTGAAATTTCCCTGCCTACTCCTGCAGTCGCTGTGGGCGGCAGTGACGATTACTTTGTTTTCCTGGACGACAACAACCATCTCCATTTCGGTGACCTAAGTGAGCGGTCCCATATAACTTGGAGCTCCTTGCGTCTGCCACTAAGCGTGACGGCCTTTGCGGTGTCCAGCTCCTGCCGCAGCCTCTACCTGGTGTCCGGTGGATGCCTCTTGTTGTGCCGCGCTCAACATAAGGAAAGCGAGCAAATTTTAGTAGACTCTGGTGTTCATGACGTGGTTTCGAGTCTTGAAGTCGGTCAAATATTAGATCAAATAATATCGAGGCTTGGAATCCCAGTGACTGTTGAGGAGAGACGAGGAAGCTCAGTGCCTGGTGAGGAGAAACGAGGAAGCCCAACAGCTGATGAAGAGAGACTAGGAAGTTCGGCGGCATGTGACGACAGGCTAGAAAGCCCAGCGCCTGGTGAGGAAAGGCTAGGAAGCACAGCTCCTGGTGAAGAGAGATTAGGAAGTTCATCACCTGGTGAGGAGAGACGAGGAAGCTCAGCGCCTGGTGAGGAAAGGCTAGGAAGCCCAGCGCCTAGTGAAGAAAGGCTAAGAAGCTCAACGCCTGGTGAAGAGAGACTAGGTTGCCCCGCCCCTAGTGAGGAGAGAATAAGAAGCCCTGATGAAGAAACGGAAGTTGCAACCAAATCTTCTTCAAACCGCCATACCCTTTTGTGCCGCACTGATGTAACCTCTTCAGCTGCGAAGAGCACTCGTCAGGACCGCATGTTTTCTTCACAAAGTCGAGACGAAAATTACTTGCCTTCACGAATAAACCTCCCGTCTTTCTTCATGCTGCTAGCTCGGCCCCTTGCGAGTGGCGTGCTTGCTGTTGCTGGCGATGATGAACTTGTTTTCTACGTAACTGACGACGGCCAGGTTCGTTAAACGCCCTCAGAATTGCCTTATTTCATTGGCTAGAAATTTGGAATTAATTTTTTACGTTAAGTATCTGGGTGCGATGCCTGTCGAATGGCTCTTCTAATGTGGCTATAAAGTCCGCTGTTCGAAAAAAATGAACGATAAAAGCTTCGAAAATGTTTACCATATTTTAGACAACCGATGGGAGAGTTGAACGTTCAATATGAGGATACCATTTACCAAACTGTCTATTTAAGGTTTGGTGTCTGCTGCTGACGGACAGTCAACCGCTAAGAGCGGTGGAAGCAGGACGTGCCGTGTTGCTGGGGTCAGAGTCGCCCTTACGATTTGTTTCTCTGGCGTACAGAGACGGACTGCTGTGGGCAATGGATGCGAAGGGAGCACTGCACTTCAGGTGAGCTCATCAAGAGAACTAAATTTAAAGAATTATATTTGAAATTACCCGCGCGAGGTTGAAACAAATTCTCCACTTGTCTAATTGCTTATCCTTGGCTTCTGTCTGTTGAATTCTTTTGGAATATAATATTCATTTTAAAAATTCTGTAAATAGTAGAGAATAGATAACATCAATACTAATTCTTTGGCCGCTGGATGTCTAAAGTCTAAATTTATTTAAATTTCTCAAGAAACATTGAATTTAAATAATTTTGTTAATTAATTAAATCAAATTACCTATGCATAATTGTGTGCCTTCAGAGCTGGACAAAGTCGAGAGTGTCCCATGGGACTGTCGTGGGGGGTAGTGCAAACAGACCAGGAACAGGATCCTCCCCCTGTGGGGGATGAGGAAGAAGTGCTGGAGCGGCTTCACTCTCACTTGGTAGTTGATCCTCACGGGCTTCCTGCTCGCTCTCTTAAACCTGACACGCAGCGCCAGCACAACGCTCATGACTGGCTCGTTCATAATAACAACAACAATCGTGCCGATAAACACACAGACGAGTGCAATGTTAATGACGATGTTAGTAGAAATCCACAATCCCTCATTATATCTCACGATAGAGCCGGCAACCGCGATTTCCAGACTCTGAGCTGTACTCCGGAGATAAGTTCCGTGTTCAGCAGCGTTGTTGAGGGAATAAGGGAGGAAGTTTCTGTGCATTCTGCCACGCAAGCCGAGTCTGTGGCAACGGCCGCTGAGACTGTGGCGGTGACCACCGGGACTGTGGCAATGACCATCTCGAGCGGCGGTGTTGCCTGGCGCGTCACGAAGTGCGGATCGGTGGCCTTCCGTCCTGGTGTTTGCGCCGCGATTCCGCAGGGCGCCAACACGAGTTGGTGGGCGGTTGGTGTCGGTGAGCGGTGGGTGGACGCGAGAAAGCCTTTGTTCACCAGCGGCGGGGGTTTTGTATGGCTTTGCGTAAGCAAGGAGCGTCGGGTGCTTGTGCTCCCTGTGGCCACAATGGGCAGCGTATGGACAGCTGCTGGCCGGCAACGATGGTCAATGGTGTCCGCTGAAGCGCTTTATGGTGGCCACGGTTCCCTGGCATGTCTAAATCCTAAAGGGGAGCTGCACCTCGTCAACCCCACGAATTTCCACTCTGAAGTACTTACCTTACCCGATCTTAGCCCCGTTGTGTGCGTGAGTCAGCGACCCGAGGTTCTGTGGCTACTTACGGCGACCGGGGACCTTTGGATCCGCGGTGGCATGACGTCTTCCTGCAACATGGGCACGCACTGGCACTTGCTTGACCTGACGCAGATCAGCGACGTGACCCTTCGTCATGTCAGCCTGGGGCTTGAGCTGACGTGGGCGGTGGACATGAGGGGTGGCGTGTACATGAGACAAGGCGGGTTGTCGCCACCACACCCATACGCCTGTCCCCAGGCATGGCTGCAGGTGGACCACATGAGGCTGCCTGGAGGCGCCTTATTCACGAAGGTATTTGTGGGCCCTGGACGCCAGCTGGTGTGGGCGTTGGACAGCCGCCACTGCGTCTACGTGCGGGTTGCCATATTTTCTGACCTTCCCATCGGCGTGACTTGGGAGGCCGTGGACGGGGTGCGGGCCATCAATTTGTCCATCAGCGAACGCGGCCGCGTATATGCCGTCACTGAGGAAGGGCACGTGTACGAGAGGCTGGGCGTCGCTCCTCCTGCCAACTACGTGGGCACCGCCTGGAGGAAACTGCCTGGCTGCCTTGCCAGCGTGTCAGGTGACTGGGCCAGCGTGTCAGGTGACTGGGCCAGCGTGTCAGGTGACTGAGCCAATTATCATTGTAGTTCCCATTGAAGTCCATATAATTGTCAATGCTACCAAGATTTCCACAATCATTAACACTAACAGAAATTGTTATTCTTGTGCTCGCAGTGAGCGTTGACGATGAGCTCTGGGGTCTGAGCCAGAGCGGCGTGCTCTGCAGGCGACAAACTCTGCATTCTCTCCACTGGCGCCGCGCAGACTCCTGCTCTGAACCCCAGACTGCCCAGGACTCTGATGCGGGTCTCCTGCTTGACTCTGAGACAGAGTCGCGGCGTCAGAGTATTGATGAATCCTGGGAAGTCATCGAGTGATCAATGGACCTCAAATGGGCGCCTAAGTTTGCTAAGTACGATTAATTTTTGAAGTATCATAATAAATGTAATAATGCATTATAATAATGTATATATTGCATAAATGCAATATTATATATTTCATTATTATATGCAATATATGCCGTTAATAATGCATTATTACATTAAACCGACGGATACCTTGTAATTATCCATTCTTTGAGGCTTCAAATTATAAAAAAGGGATTAGTAGTTATGACAGACTAATTGTCTTGACTATTGTAAAACCAACCATTCGATGTGCAGGAGGTTCCTTGTTGTAGATCGTCGTTCGGAGGTTCCGTCTACTTATGTGGAAAGATAAATATTTTTGTGGGAATCATTGAAAGAGGTTTGTAATAAATGCATTATTGACCATCACCAAGACCCACCCCCTGCCACCATAACTATCTAGACACGCAGACCCATGCACTTCATTGACTGTACCCAGAATAGTTGCTAAAATTGACTGCACACGGTGCAGTAGTTACAGTTGACTGTACCTAGTACAGTGGCTACAATTACATCATTTGTCTGTTATGACTCTCTGTCAATCGAGGCTTCAGTAGTGGCATGCGTGTTTTAAATGCCGCTATTAATCCTGCAGAAATAAGGAAAATTTTAGGTCAGGTAAGAAGCTGATAGAGAGTAGTAGCCCAAGGCCCCTACTTCGCATGCAATATCGAAGCGCTTGTGTGTAGAATGTCTATACTGTGATAATTTGAGGTATTTTTTCATTATTATGTATTAGGTGATATACAATATATAATAATATTATTATGTATAGTATTGATTCACCTTAAAATTCGACGTCCAGAAAACTACGTTGAGAAATCACGAGGTTCAATTTTGTTCGCTCCTTTGTTCGTGATGAGAGCGGGCATCGGTCACGAATAGTCCTGAAGTTTATTCTTCAGAACCATGGTTTGCTTGTACATTATTTACCAGGGGTCATACTTTCAGAAACAGTTACGAGGTCGTAACTCTGGCGGCCAATCACTGATGGCTTTTCAATCTGAACCCACCAATCACAGACGAATAATCTGAGACTTCGTGAACTTACGTAGTCGTAAGGTCAGACAAAGAAAGAAGGCTCTCAATTCATCTGTGGGAAATTTCACACCGTTCATCGATTTTCTAATTTCTAAACTGAATTTAGTTACAAGTGATGTTGGGATTACATTAGGATCAGTTTAGGGTAAGCTCTCTTGAAGATTTTGTAGGCATAGAGCAAATGTGAGTTCGCACAGCCGAAGGGTAAAGGCCCTTATGGGTAGAGCTAATCGAGTGACTGGATCCTTTCAGTGCCCTTTGACGTCGTCGTACTGTTCATCAACGCCGTTCACAATCAAGCCATTAGTCGGATTCTCAAATATCTTCCTTGAACTTAGCTGTTTTTCTACCTTATTTTAGTGTACCCGAATTTTATTTTGTCGAGTTGCTTAAGGTGCCTGTACACAGGGATATACTAGCCGCTAGTTCATCCGCCGCTTGAACTGTCCACGCTACTAGCCTCGTGTATAGGGGTTCAGCCGCTTCAGAGGCATGCGCCGGCAAGTGCCCGAGACGCGGTCGAGAGGGACAACGATGTGTTGATTTCTGCGCTGGAGAAGTGGCTGGTAGCGCTGATGCAGCCATGGTGAGTGCATCTGTGCCGGTCGTGTGAAGTATCTTGGGTCAAGTGATTCATGGCTTGTTTGAACGATAATGTTTCTAAGAAGAACCCAACAAAGTGGATTCCGGACGTTATTCAATTATTCTTTGAAATATTCCTAAAATATGAATTAACGTGGAATGTTTGCCATGACGGTTACTCCAATGAAATCAAGAGAGAAACGAGTATTTTGAAACTGGAAGAAGATCTTATTAGTCAGGGTTTAGTTATTCCCGACGTTGCATTTTTAAAGGCTAGAATAAAGAGTATGAAAACGACGTACAGATAGAGTTGTTGAAGGTGATCCCACTATCCATCTTCGCAGACCTCACTCGACGGCTTCTAACGACGCACTGGCGGGCGCGAACGAGAAGATAGCGGCACCTTAAACTCTCCTCGTGTACAGGCTTACTAGCCGGATAGTCACCAAGCGACCGACACTAGCCAGATTTACTATCCGTCTGCACTATCCCCGTGTACCTTTACTGCTATGATTTATTAATTAATTCGAAATATTAAGCTCAATCGTATATATCATCATCTATGGTATCCGCTTTTCACTTAAATTTCCACTTGATCAAACCTTAAAGCTGACTACACTGATATAAGCTGTGTTATTATTACTGGCTTTGACCGTCACTCTAATACTTTACCTTCTTTCATAGCAATTCTTCAATTTTGCTTAAATATTTCCTGCTGAAGCATCCATCTCAATCTGATTTCATCCTATTTCTATGTATTTACTGTTCTAAAAGTGCGTAACCACACTGACTGCCAACAATAAACTCAGGTGTGTTGTGGTGGAAGTGTAAAGCGATTTGAATTCTTATTGCTCACATTCGCCATTTGAAATTATTTAACTGTGCGGTTAGTTGTCACTTCGCCATTTGTTTATCCCATCAATCATCATGATTATGTTGCAGTATCACCCCAACTATTACCTCGCTGTTCTAGATTCATGGACTCCTATTTTTTGGCGCTGATGGCGGTTTTGGTTGACGCGTGCAGTGCAGTTCTGGCTCATTTTGTTCATGCCATGATCGAGTGACTCCCTCACTTACGTAGACAACACGATGTCACCCAGGAATCTAAAATGAATTGATGGCTTTAACTTTCAAGTATCTGCTAATACGAGAAGTCTCGTATTAGCGAACACGTGGTCAAAAATCTCCGAAATCTAATAAAATCTTCAACATTTGATTTGGAATTTCGAACCTTATCAGTTACGATTGTGTGGAATTATCCACACATCATCCATGTAACGAGTTCTCATTGCCGACAGAGGTGGTCAGCATGGGCCTAGAAATAGCGAATATATGAAGGCTGTGAAGAGGCATTCCTTGTTACTTATTCCGTACCGCTGTTATTAAGAAATGTTAACGCCAGAGTTGCGATTAAATGATATTAAAGAAGTGGAAGTTATTATTGCAGTCTTCCTTTCTCGTAAGAATTTCTATCAACATACTGATGAATTGCTCCAAAAATTTGACCTCGCGACAACGAATGTTAATGAGGAATTCTATTTCTCTTTGTTCGTGTTTGCAGTTGGAAAATAATTCATGTATGATGATACATGATACATCATAAGTAGATAATGGGCAGGGTGGCCCAGTGGTTAAAGTTCAGAGTATCAGGATCGGAGTAGAGAGGTTCGGGTTCGATCCCAGCTCTGTGCGCCAGTTTCTGGTCAGAATCGGCTAGGAGGCCGGGCGGTTAAGCACAGCAGAATTGTGGCAGTGAGTTGCGAGTTCAAGCCCGCAGCAAAATGTGGATGTTCTGCGATGTTAAGATTCGACGACAGGCCTGCGGCCTAATAAACGTTGAAACCGCTATATATATATGTAAATTGTACCAGGCTCACAAAAAAACTTTTTTAAACCACTGGAGGTATTATTAAAATTCATACATTATTTAATAAAACCACTGGAGGTCTAATAGAATTTATCGTAACGCGAGGATCCTCACATCTCATCCTGGACGCCTTACAGAAGAGCTTTATTGCCGTGAAGAAATTCGCGCTGAATAACATCCGCCTATGATGCTTTATTTTATTTGTTATTAATCCACGTTTCCTGCTATTTCTGTTTGACTCTTGCACAATTTTACCACGTTATAGTCCCAAGAAGGGTAAGTATGATTGTAACTATGCAGTACAAGGTTTAAATATCATATTGCATTCTAAAAAAAATTACCGGTAGGTAATGCATATCAACTCATGGTGCAGGCATGTCAGTTGCTTTATTGTTTACTGTCATTGGACTGATCAAATATACAAATATCTCCATATAGAATTATATTTTGATTTCTTCTCACTTAAATTTATAAATAATATTACACTGATAAATTTAGAACATTCAGAGGGGTAAATATAATTTTTATCCAGTTTGTACCCAAAATTTATTAAAATCCTCTAATGAATAATCATAACAGAGAAAGATAATTGAGCATTAACGAGACAAATTGCGTCAGCACTGCAATATGGTTCGTTCTTCTCGAACCATTAGAATTACCATTATTCGTGCACCATTATTCAAATGGATCAAGTCAAGCTTCCCTGATTTCGCACATTTTGCCCGCTTTTTTGCCCCGCTCGTCTTGGAAAATAAAGCCGAGCAAAATTATTTTTTCCAGATTAAAAAATAATTCGTTCAATCACAATCATAGCATGAATTTCCAGCCGAATATTTTATCATTGCTGGAATTTCGAACAGAATTTATAGCCTCATCTTGGTCGTCACTAAAACCTGAGAGCCAAAGTTCCGGGAATCTTCCAGTCTTGCGGGCAGATTTGATCAAAGAACTTAACAGTCACGGCAAATCCCTTCGCTGGTCGCTGGCTTCTGATCATCGAA